ATATTACAATTTTGAAATGTAATAAGGTAAATTCATTTGTAAAATCTTATTTTTAAAGATACAGCAGTTACAAACTCAATTAACTCATTTATGTTTTAAATTTAAATGACTATAAATGGCTTAATCATTGAGTTTCTTGTATATGCCAATAGCTTCCACTATAACGATATAATGTTTTTGTTTTTCCGAATTTATTGAAGTGTTAACAAGTTTAGCAATCAAATAATTAATACGATTTATATTAATCACAACTTTATATGAAGTATAACAGATAAAATTAGAAAAGTAAAATCGATTAAATAACAATTATAAGGAGTCTAAAAAAATAATGTACATTGTGTTCCTTAATTTCTGCCTTTCTTCTAAATTCTTAAAATTGTTGTCAGAAATAAAGCAAAAAATTATACATTAAGAGTCATAAATATCTAAGAAGGCAAAACAATACTGAAATCTAACAATTATAGTAAGTTGGGATTAAAAGCCAAAAGGTCAATTTATTTTTTGTATAAACAGTATTAGTGATTCCTAGTAATTCGTCTTTTTTTTCCTCTGAAAAATTAACTGGTTTTGATATTTTTAATTTCTCCTTAATTTTAACTGATTTAGTCAGAATCTTACAGACTTAATTCAGTTTTTATTTTTCTCGTTTGAATTTTAATTTCAAACTTTAATGTCTACTTTCACTTTATTTAAATATTTCTGAAATTATTGTACTGGAGGATCTGGTACTGAAACACAGAGTAAAAAATTGTTAATTAATGTTTAATATTTTATTGAACGGTAATTTAATTTAAACATTAGAAATTAAATAGAAGTATTGCAGTAGAAATACAAAAAATAACATTACATTCAAAATTCCATTACAAAGTCTGAAAGTTTTTAGGCTTCAATTATATAACTCTATAATAGTAAATTTTCCTATCTGAAATATTAATTAATGAAAAAAAAGCAGAAATCATATACTATTTTGCATATATGCAAAATTATTTACATAATTATTCAATGTTTAAGTATTTTTATATACATAAAAAAATTTTGTGTAATGCCAGTTATCACATTTTTCAACACTTTTTCTACATTTTATTTCTTTTAAAATAATAAAAAAATATTAAAAGATTATTAGGCAAACAATTGTAAAATAATGTGCACGATGACAAGAGATAAGGAATAAAAGTAAGAAAGTAAAACAAAAGAAAAAAGAAATCGATAATAAACAGTTATCAGTTATCTTCCCCACGCGAACTTATCTTAAGATTTACTAATAACATTTTATCTTAAAATTTTAGAAAACATTCCTACATATTTTTTTCTTCAGAAATTTTAATATGTTTTGAAGACTTCGTTTTGTTGATATTTAGTAATTTTGTTTTACGCAATCCTTACCTCAGTGCCCCGTTCATTTGTTTGTTTTGACAGCTGGCTATTTTTGGAGCACTGAATTTTTTTTGTAGATAGTATAAGTTAATTTCTGATGCCTTCCAAGTAATAAATTTTGCAGCTATTGGGATTACATTTTAAACCTATATTTGCGGAAAATTTTCTTTTGCGAAAAAGAAATCTTTTCGGAGATTCTTGCAGGTTTTTGCAACGAAATAAAATTTGTTCAAAAAAAAAAATTATTTATCATAAAATATTCTTAAAAAAGTCGACCAAGTAGTTTCAGATTTTCGTCACATTATTTTTAAAGAAAGCATTCAGATAATTTTTTGGAGATTGTAATGGAATGTAATTAATTAATCATTACTCCTATTTATTAATATATTGTAACCATTACTCTTATATGTATAAAAATTTTGCAATAATTGCGTAATAGGTTAAGTTAAACAGAAAAATGTATATAGATAACTGCAGAAGTTTTTTTAAATTTTTTTAACTTCATTTAAAAATTAAGTTTATTAAACTATTGTTGCAGTGTGAATTTCAAATTAATACAAAAAGTGTTGGGACTTGCAACAGTTTAACTTTTAGGTTTTCAATATGGTAGTTTATTTCATAAGACGAAAGGAAAGTAACGTAATTGTTTTCAAAAATGTGTTTAAATTAATTATTATTAGCAATAATTTAATTGAAAAATAAATTAATGATAATGCAAAGAAATATTATTTATTAAAACTATACAGAGAGAAAATCGTTGTAGCATAAATCTAAACAAAATCAAAGCATATTTGCCCTCTTTTTTTCAAAATGCTGTTCTTTTTCTTCTTCTTTTTTCTAATCTTTTCAAAGAGCATAAAAAAATGGAAGTAGAAATTACAATTACAAGAATTTTGGATGATTTACCATAACTATTTTTAATTTGGGGGAAATTTTTATAAAATGTTCATTTTGGTTCTTTTAAGTAAAGCTATCATTTTCAATTACAACATATAATTTTACTATACAGACAATTTTTGTGCGTTTATACTTAAGTAAAACAGCAGTTTAATTTTTTTTAATTTAATACCGATAAGGAAATATTAATTGATACTAAAAACATGCAATTTACTTTATAAAAAACATCATCCATCTTATCATATTCAAATTAAACACAGAACAAATGTTGCATGTAAAAATAAAATTATTATTATTTTTTTTTCACCTTCTAAACTTTTCAAAACATTTTTCTCACACTAAAATCCTGTATGATGATTTGGACAAATGGGATGAAAATAACATCTCTTTCGAAGAGTAGAGAAAACAGTAATATGAATGTACACACATTTAGTTTAAAAAACTGGTAAACTTCATTTCATGCTAAAACTGTACAATAGGTTTACCAAATGATAATACAATCTTTAACCACTGGTTTAATCAGTGGGTACAATTGAACTCTGTATTAATATCTATGTACAAATGGAACGAGGTGAGTTTATGTTTGTTATACACATATGATGAGACAGCTGCATAGCAGAAATTCATTTTTTTCCCTTCAAAAATTGAGGTATTTCATGAAATTGGAGTAGATTTTTAGAGTATAACATCAATCAACAGTTACTATTTTAACAGTTAACAATTTACAGTTTGCTTTTTGAAGATAAAAAAATTAAATTTTTTTTTGATTCTATTTAAAATTACCGATCACGAATGTGATATTGATCGATAAAATTATTTATATTCACTTTAAATTAATTACAACTTTTATTTACTTATAAACTAAAAATTCTCTGAAAATACTTTAATAATATTCTTATTGTATTAATATACAGTAGAAATATTATTTGAATTTTTTTAAAAATTGCTTGGAATTAGTATTATTAATTATAATTGTTATAATTAATTATAAGCTCTAATATTAAATCATTCTTATAGCATAAACATACAGTAAAAATACCATTTGAAAAAATTATTTTAGTTGCCTGGAGTTACTATAATTAATTATAATTGATATAAATGCTTACATTTATATTAAATAAAAAAACAATTATAGATTTCTGAAATTTTCAGAAAATAATGTAATGATGTTCCCATTTAGTTGATCAAAAGTGTTGATAATTCGAACTTTTTAAATAAAAATAATTCATCACTAATATGCTATAGTTAGGTCATATAAATACATTAAAAAATAACTTCAATGCTTTTCATTAATGCATATGATATTAACTCAGAAATTCACTTTTTTAAAATTAGCCAAACTTCGACGAGATTTCACAAAGTTTCGAAATCACGACTAATTGACAACGCAGTTGGATAAAACATATCAGTGTTTTAGTACTAATTAGTACTCTATTATTATTTGACCATAAAACTCAAACGCAACGACAAATTTCTATTTTATAACATTTAATGGAATAAAACTTCCTATTTAATCAAAATTAAAATTTTGATTTCATAACTGATGAGTCAATTTTTTGTGAATTCCTTTAGTTGTAAGTAAACAAATTATGGCATAAAATAAGATACTTTTTGTAGGATGCTTTGAAATAAGGGTTAAAAAGAGTAACTTAAAGTGCTATGTTAAAAACAAATCTTTAAAAATCAATACATTGAAAGTAAGTTTAATTTTTATTGTAAAATATTCCCATTAAATTTCAGGCAAAATTTTTATTACAAATATAATTTTAGCTTAAGTAGCAGTTGTATATAAAAAAAATAACTCCTCAGTAATAAAGTAATTAGTAATTTTCAGTGTGAACCTGATGCTGTAGTGACAACATAAAAAAAAAATACAAAGATTGTTTATGAGTTGCTATTTGCACGAACCTATAAAATAAATAAATAAATCCCATTTTATATCAATCTTTCTATAGAATGAGAATTCCTTTTTAATCATATTTATAATTTTAATTTCATAACTGATCTGTCAACTTTAGAAAAAAAAATTTCTTTAACTGTAAAGCCAAATAAATTATTGCTTAAAATAAAATACTTTTAGTAAGATTTTTTGAAATGAAGGTTAAAATGTTTTAAAATAAAGGTTAAAATGTTTTGAAATAAGGGTTAAAAAAAAGAAAAGAAAACTTGAAGTGATGTGTTGAAAACAAATCTTCAATCAGTTATGAAATTACATTAATTACATGAAATTATTAAAATCATCATTAAAAACGAATTAATTTAAATTAAAACATCAAAATCAAAACATGAAAATGAAATCATCATTTTAATTTCATAACTAATCTGTAAATTTTTTCTAAAAAAAAAAATTTCTTTAGCTGTAAAACCAAATAAATTAATGCTTAAAATAAAATACTTTTAGTAAGATTTTTTGAAATGAAGGTTAAAATATTTTGAAATAAGGGTTAAAAAAAAGAAAGGAAAACTTGAAGTGCTGCGTTGAAAACAAATCATCAAAAAGTTATGAAATTAAAATCACCATGGAAAATGAATTAATTTCAATTGAAACCATCAAAATGAAAACATGAAAATTAAATCATCATTTTAATTTCATGACTGATCTGTAAATTCCTTCTAAAAAAAAATAAATTCCTTTGGCTGTAAAACCAAATAAATTAATACTTACAATAAAATACTTTTAGTAAGATGTTTTGAAATGAAGGTTAAAATTTTTTAAAAATAAGGTCTTAAAAAAAAAAAGAAAAATTTCTGTGCTGAAAACAAATCTTCAAAAATCTTGGAAATAAGTTAAATTTTTATTCTTAATCACTCTCATTAAATTTCAGGTAAAATTTTCTATCTCAAGTACAATTTTAGTTTCCGTAGGAAAAAAGTAATTAATGATTCAGTAATAAAGTAATTTTCACCGTGAACCAGCGTTGTAGTGACAAGATACAATAAAAACACAAAGCTACATTCGTTTTTTTTCCCTTCTTTCTACAACCGTTTTTGCTGTCATAGAAAGAACTGTTTTTGAAATGAGTATTTATTTCGCCTATGCAGCTGTCAATTACCTCGAATAGTATGTGTTGTGACCCTGTCTCTTCACCTAAAAACGGACATGGAGGCGGTGTGCTCCAGCGCTTTCCGCCGCAATGAGGCGATACTGGTACCCCGCCACACGTCATTCGTCTCCGGTCCCATGCCCATGGCGCAGGCGAGTTGGGGCGGCGACGAAGAGCCTGAGGAGCTGGGCGGCGTCGCCCCTGATGCAGTCGGCATGCCAGCCGCCGCAATACCCGCTGTAACGGGCGCTAGTCCTGTGGGTGGGGCGACTGCAGTGGGACCCCCTGTGTTAAGGGAGTTGAGTCCCCCATACATAGGCGACTGGTACATGGGTGAGCAGGAGGTGCTCGTCGTGATGGAGGGCAGAGAATTGGGAACCAGCTGGGAAGACACTTGTACAGCCATATACTGAAATAAAAATTCAAAATTATTAATTTTTTCATAACATGCATACATACAAGGGTGTTTGGTGATCATCGCCCTTAATATATATTTTTGAATGCTTCTCATTAGAACGTTTTGCTAAGGGGTGCGAATTGCACAATTAAATATAGAGTTCAACGCTTTAACAAATAATGGCGACTAGCTTAGCTGAAACCAATGTGATCTCAGAAACAATATCTAGCTCAAATATTGAACAAAACCGAAGATTGGGATAAAGTCATCACACTTTACTGGAGATCGGTCTTTTACAATGATAGCTCATTGCTTTGAACTAAATGTTCTTGATTTCATCATGGCCTGAATAAAACCTTAACATATTTTAAATATAAGCTTATGATGTATATTTAATGATTTTTTTAAAATTTTGTTTTAACCAAATAGTTTAATGGGGAAAAGCTTAACTAAATGAGTTATAAAAGATAGATTATTATTATTTTGAAGAATCTGGGGCATCGATGACCTAGCATGCTTGTACAGCTATATATATATATTTTTCCCCTTTAAGTACAAATTTTATCAATAATTGATTTTGTAAATTAAAGAAATCGCAATGATGAATAATGTTTCTCTTAATATATATAATCTCTTAATATGAAAAAAATAAACATGTTAGCAAACATACGCATCAAGGTCAATAACAAGAAAAGTGGAGTTTAAATGAAACATATTTGTTTTTGGAATGAAACGCAATGCGTTTCCTTTTACTATTCTACCCTATATAAGTTCTTAGGAACACGTTACATGATTTATCTGAGTAATTAAAAAGTTTTTGCTGAGTTTGATTCCATTTTTAACTATTGTACTATAAGAGATATTAGGAACATATTACAGTTTTATTTGACTCATTAACAGGTTTTGGCCAGTTAAATTCCGTTTTTAACTCTTTTATCTTATAAAAGAAATTAAGAACACACTTCAGTTTCCTGATTAACAGGTTTTGAGTGAGTTTAATTCCATCTTTGCCGATATTATGTATCGATTGATAAATTGTTCTTTTTTACTTAAATATTTATTACCATTTTCTGTTTAAGTTTAAACATTTTCTTTTTGCCACGGATTATAAAAATATATATTAAGACCATAGATTAAGAAACACCATGTATACGGAATTATAGAATTAAAAATATATCAATATATGGGTTAAACTAAAATACGGGAGCATTCATTTAATTTATGTAAAGATTTTATGCTATGTGTTTTCGATTAAAATGAGCACATCTTTACTTACAATTCCTTATTTAGAATGCACTTTGACATTTCTTTATTTCATTTCAAAAGTAAAATCGATATTAGTACTTTTGTTATAGTACTCCCCTCCCAAGGTGACCCAGGTTCGAATCCCATCGGCTACCGGTCAATTAAAACTCTACTCCAGCCTCACACCAATCACCAAGCTTACGTAAAATATTCCCAGTGGTACATAGATCACAGATAAAAATAGAATTGAGATAAGGCTAACCATTGGTGGTCTCCATGGTTTTCCTCATTAAGTAAAGCAAATATCAGCTAGTTCTATCACCAAGTTCAATCAGAAGGCTAGTTTGTTTTAATACCTGATCCAGGAGTTCTACTGTGTTGAGTTCCAAATCATGAGGCAACGGGGAATACTGAAAGCCATAAACCCAAAAACGGGTTGCTGTTCAACATTGGTAATTAAAAAAGTTTTAAAATGACTTGAAACAATAATTTTGTTTTGATAAAAAATCAGAGTAAATAGCTCTATATAGTCTGGTCAAGACGAAATTTTAAGCACAACATGAGGGTTTGGTTATTTTAATAATTAATTAACTAAAAGGATAACTATACCATCAACTTTTATCTTCAAAAACACAAATCACAATTACATTGATAAAAATTTAACACTAGCATTTTTTGTGCGTATTATAGAATTTAAAAAACTCTCAGTTAGTTTCATTTTGAACAAATTTATTATAATTAAAAAAATTTTCTAAATCTGAAACTTGCCTTACAGCTTTAAAAAATCGTCCAAATCGAAGAAAAAACATAAGTTTTATTCAATAAACAAATTTACAAAGAATTTTCTGAATTTTAGATATCCAACTTTAGATTTTTTTTAAAATTAAAACTTAATACGCCAAGAAGCTAATTTTTTAGATTATAGATTCAGAAAAGAGAAAGAATATACTATGCAATTGCTTATAGGGTGAGTGAAATTAAGAAAAAATTACAATTTGTTTTTAAGTCATTAGTAGAAGAGGGAGAGGAACATAAGAGGGGAAGAGCGGCTTAACAATACTTGCCTTTGCGATTTGGAAGGATGGTAATGTTTTCAAAATTTTAAATTTCTGAGTTCATTTATTTATATTTTATAGCCGTAGTTACAGCCGACCCAATTTTGGGTTTACGTCTACAAATGTTCTGCTCCGTAGCCCTGTAATTTTGAACCCAATCCGGAAGACCAGGGAACTCCTGGATTAAGTAGTGGGGGAAATTTACCTTCGTAGAGGACTCTTTGATGGAACTAACCCGCATTTTAGTTACATGGAGAGGAAAACCACGGAAACCTTCCACGCTTAACCTAACAGAATGGGGACTCTAACTCATGATCCGTCAACCACTGAGGATATTTTACGTCAGCACTGGGGTCAGTTCATTTATTAATAGGGAATTGGAAGGATTTATAAACGAATGCCTGATTAACTGAATTAAATTCTTGGAGGCAGCGTCCACTGCTTCCAAAACATAAAGGCATTTCATATTTTATTGATGAATTTCGAGAAAAAGATGTCAAGGTCAAAAAGTATTATAAATTTACCCATTTATAGGATTGAAGTTTCATTTTTACTACACATTAAAGTGTTTGCGTCTGAAGAACGTACGATACTTAAGGCGTGAAGTCTTTCAAAAGTTTTTAATGCATTGTACTATTCTCTATTAACACTAAAAAGTATTCCCGTAATAGCTAGTTTAGGGTTAAGGCTGTCACAGAACCTCAGTTTTGTTGCCACCAACTTTTTACATTAATGACATAAAACTAAACAATAACTAATTAAAATAACTCACATTTACCAATAATAAGAAAATACAAAACAATAAGTGACCGATAAATACTTTAAAGATATCGTAATTCTTGCTCAGTTAAACAGTTTATTTAAAATGTAAATTGATTTCAATCAAATTAAATATCTCAATAAATCAAGCATTTTTTATATTTACGCCTTAGCTAATTTAGTTATTATGTCTATCATACTTTTGGAGATAATCAAATCCTAATTTGACTAAATATTATACAATTTCATTCTCATTTAATTAAGCGCAAAGGAATATTCGCATTATAAATTCGGCTTTTTTAGTTAATTTTTCACACATTTATAACAAAATTAAGTTAAAATTTCAGTCATCTCAAAAAATGAGTAAGCCGACTATTTTATAAAAGACATCAAATGGTCGCTGTGTCACTGTTTTTTTTGTTGGGTTATTATAGATAAAAGAGATTGTTAATTTAAAAGTATTCAATTTTACCGCTTTACGAAACACAAGATAACCTAGATGCATTAAAATAGTTACAGAGAAAAGCTTTTGACTTTAGCGCATTGATTAATAGCATAAATTTTCCTATAAATACCAATTATTTAAAAAGCAAGAATTGAATAAACAATATCGAAAAAAACTAAAATTGCAGGTTTATAAATTTTTAGTAGCTAGTGCACGGAAAAATTTGATTTTTAAAAAATAAACCTAACGATAAAAAATGATGCATTAAAAACTACATGAAAAAGAATATCAGTTAGATATAAACAGAAAAACTTGAGATGTTATTTATTTAAATATAAATTTTACCATAAGAACATCATTTAAAGGGATGGGTTATAAATATTTATATAGAAAAGAAAGGACTGTTTCTATAAACAATTTTTACCAAAAAATATTGTTAGAAATAGTAAAAATCTTTGAAATTAAGGATTTAACACATCTTTAACATTTCAATATTTTTGTTCTCGATTTAGGGTGCATAATGAGGTGGGGGTACATAATGGGGGTACCTTGTGGACAATTTGGCGATATCTTCGGCTTAAAAACTTGCGTCATGGTGCCACCGAGCTGCATCATTCCACATAGCTGTGGTGCCATTGCCCCCGCTGAAGTTGCTGTAGTTGGCAATGTAATTTGGAGTCTGCAACGAGATCAACCGCTCATTAAAATTTTTCAATTATTTCTTTTTTTTTCAATTAATACGTATGCAGCCTGATAATTTACTTGAAAATTAAAAATTACCAGCCAAAGTAAGAAAAGCAATCATCATGAAAAATATATTTACACGAAACTGTTTTGAAAGTGTTATTGATGAAGGAAGGGGCTTTATATTGATGAATTAATTTTAGAAGTGGCTAACTAGTGTTTCGTAAAGCGGCATCCAAACTGAATACGTACTAATTTAGAAAATGCATAAATAATTCGAAGTAAAGCTAGAAACAGTTTAAATATTAAACACATTTTAATACATTTGAAAACACAAGTACAAAAAATGGTTAAAAATAGACATACAAAAATAGGAATATAAATTGTCTCGTTTTAATTTCAGTTTAACAATAATAAAGATAAAATTTATTAAATAACAGATATTCAAAATTGTGGTTATACAATATATAAATACTATTAAAAATATAGTATTAATTGAAATAACATTTGTAATATCTAAATTTTTTTTATATGAATTAATTGAATAAAGATTATTTATATTAAATGTTAGAGAAAATACTCATAAATAATGCTAAACAGGACGTTTTAGTCTCGAATTTTCTGTCCCGTTAACGAACTTTTAATAAAATTATAAAACTAATGCGTCTTCAAACACTATAATTTTTAGTCTTGTAGATAGAGAAATTCCATGAATTTTTAGTTTTAAGCGTAATTTCTTTGTTGAATTGAAATCTATATGAATAAAAGATCATAATGCATATAAAACGAATGAAATGTCTATTAATCAAAGGTTTCGCAAGATGTACCCTACTAAAATTTTCATTTTAAAGTTGTAATAAGATAACCGTCTGTCCATTCGATTAACCGTAAAGTTCAAAGTAAAGAACAATTTTATCTTTACGTTTTTGAAACCATCTACAACTAGTATGGTTATAAAATCATGAATATAAAACTCTATCGTTTTTTTTAACCATTTACAATTAGGATGGTTTCAAAACCGAAAAAAAAAAAAGAAATTTAACTGGAGATAGGAGCAAGGCTGTCCGTCAGGTAATAGGCATTGGACAGTGCAGGACACAAATTGGAAGGTACAGGACACTGGAAATTCTTCATGTGTTGAAAGGAATGGAGGAAACATTGTGTTGTCAATGCTGGGGCTCGAACCCCAGTTCTGTTGGTCATGAGACTTAGAGATTAGCCCTCTCGGGCTTAATATGTAGGCAGTTGCAAGGAACTAAGTGACTTTATTAGGTGGACTCAGCTAGTACGATAAGATTCTAGTTGATTAACCGTATTGGGTGAAAGCAGTTACTAAACGGTTTTTCTCACTGGTTTGATTACCATCTTGTTTACTGATATTTGACTGTTTTCTTTTAATATGGTAAAATAGGGATTAAGTAAATTGTTATTTGGTCATTTTTTCTGAGAAAACTGCAACAGTGTATAAGTAATATAGTTATAGATTTACATTCTAAAAAGAACAACACCATTCATATAAAGCTAGACTAAAATACTTAAGTACTCAATAAGCGAGATAAGTATCTTCGAATTGCAAAGCAATTCAAAGAGAACCGTGGAAACAATTTAGAAGAGGGGCTGGTGAACAAGGCGTGGGGTCCTCTAATCCTTGTATATTATCATAAAAATACTTATCAGAATCATTTATATATATTAGATTATATACATATTAGTAGCTTAATTTTATTCAGTGTCCTTTAAATTCGCTTAATTCGTGGATATAATATAGAGTTGACTTATTTTCAAACAGAAATAGTGATTTTTTTTTCAATTGAGACCTCATTTCTTATTATAAAAATACTTTTTTGAGACATTTTATGATATTGTAAAGAGTCTTTACAATTAGTTTTGGTATATTTATTTCTAATTTTCAGATTCAATAAGATTTTTTCAGAAGTATAGTTATTATCAGAGTTGAAGCTAATTTGTTAAACATTTAAATGTAACAAATTAAGTATGTAATTTTAAAAATTATAGAATTAACCTATTGCCATATAGAATTAATTCTTTTAAGAAAACTCAATGCGTCTGAAAATTATTTTAAAATCTTTAAGCGAAGAGAAATATTCTATAACGCATAACAAGTTTTCCACGTTAAAAAAAAGAAGAAAATATCCCTTAAATTGGTGGATCACAGCAAGCTTACTAGAAGACTATGAAAACTTTTATTAAAAAAAAAGAATAATTATAATTGAGAAGATAAACCAATTTCACTCTAGGAAAAAAAATCAGCATTTTTAATGATTAAATTTCAGTTGCAAGGATGGTAGTAGTCAGGCTTAGGGGAATATTCTACTGTTGCTGAAAGATTGTTTGTTCTTATGATTAAAAATACTCAATCATAATAAGCATATATTTAATTTTGGCTTTTATTAATTAAAATTGCGTGAAATAAGTTAAATTTATTGCACTTGAGATTTGATGGTGCTGCACTATAATACTGCAAAGTTTAATTAATAGTATCAATTAAAAATATCGTTATTTTAAATTTCTTTGAAAACATTTTTGAGAATTGAAAGTTAATTTCAAAAAAGACCCATTCTCTTTAAGTTTAATTTAGCATGGAAATTACCGGTCTCCTTCAGAATAAATATTATTAAAAGTTTTTATAGACAATGGATTTAATTATAATTACAACACAGTTTAATATATTTAATACAAATCAAATATAATTTCTACATGAATTCATTATTGTTCAAATTTACCGGAGAATATTTTTTTTTGCATTTTTAAAGATAATACTAAATTCATTTTCTTATCAAGGAGTTAAGTTATTGTTAAAACACATTTTTACATAATATTTGCAAATTTCGATCATAATAATTTTTCATAAAGAACTAATAAATCTAAAAATTTTAATGATACATCTGAACTCTGTACAATTATGTAATTAAGCAAATAAAAATGTTTGTTTTGATTACCGAACGGTTAAACTTGAGAGTTTTTTGAAAATTGAGAAAATTTTTCAAAAATATTTTGGTATTAGAATGTGTGAAACAACTGCATGAATGATTTATTGTAAATGCCTTTACAGTTAACTTCATATTATCATGGGAAAAAACCATGAACAACAAAAATTTAATGCGAATTAAATTAATTTAAAACTGCATGTTTGTTTAAATGAATAAGTTATTTAATATTGCCATTGAATATTAATTTTCTATATCGGAAAGTCTTTATTTAATATAGTGATTAGATTTTAACTTCACTTGGACTATAGGGGCTTCAATTTATTATTCACTTATTAATTATAGGGTTAATTATAATTATTTATAATAACTAACGATAAGAGCTTTAACATACAGTTTTTTTTAATTACATTTCAATTAAAACTTTTATGAAATATATAAAATTTAAAAAAGAATTTACGAATGATCCAAAAATTATAATTATTTCAGAAATTTGAAATGATATTGATCATAATTAAACTCTTAAGAAATGTAATTTTTATTGAATAAAGAACACTGGAGAATGTGTATATGGGATAAATTTGTTATTTGATCTAATTTTTTGATCTTAGAATTTCCTTTCGTTGAATCGATTGCTATTTTTTAAATAAATTTATGATAGTTCAGCATTTTTTTTTAACCTAAATATTTCATATTTATAATTTTTGATACGCATTATTTTCGGACAATGTGTATAAAATAAGGCTATTACCATTATTTTCTTTCAATGCCTGTGAACAATATTGGTACCAGAGTTTTTATGAAAATTAGCTCTATCCAAAATACTTTAAAAAAAAAAAAATTAAATTAAAGAATTAAATGAATAAATTAAATGAATGAATTAAATGAAATTAAAAGGAATAAGTGTGTGAATAAATAAATAAATAAACAAGTGAATGAGCAGAGTGAGAAAAATTGCAACGGTCACATAAACTGAGGCAAAATTGGTTTTCAACTAGGATTTGAATCGCTGGTGGGTGAAACGTCACATTTAAATGAAAAAAAAAAGAAAAAGAAAAATATAAAATATTTGCTACAAATTGGGAACTAGTACAATATTGATACATGTGTACGGAACAGACACCGTGAGTCGAAAATGCCCTTATGACTGATTTAAATATTTCGGTTGGCAAGAAAATCGTTGAGATTTGGGCAAGAAGAAGATCTGTTTTTACGCTGCATTCATTGATGACGCGTGTGCTTCCATCAATCACAGAGGCCTATTTTTTTTTCATTTTTATTTTATTTTATTAATTTTTTATGCTTTCGTTTACCGAACTTTTCCAACACATCTTGTGGATTTAAATTTAATTTGCATGTGGATTATATATTTTCGGCAGGGCAAAGAAAGTTTAGAAAATGAATCATCAGGTTAGATTTGACACTCTGCAAATGTGACGACCGACAGTTTCCAGAAGGACAAACTGATTTGTTGCAATATTGCCGATGGATATAAGAGTAATCGGGTATTAGCAGTAACAGGTCATTCACAAAGATTTGGGTAAGCGCAAGATCTGTTTTACGTTGCATTAATTGATGACGTGTGTGTTTCCATCGATCACAGACGCCTTCCCAGAAGCCGTATCGACGATGTCAAAACGTTTTGTGACTAACTGATGTTATTTTGAGCTAAAACAAATGTATTTTTTCAACGTTTTATTTCATTTATTAATTTTGTTATGCTTCATCAAACTTTTCTAACGTACCTTGTGGATTAAGCCCATAGGGCTAAATAATGTTTTTCTGCAACAAAAAAGCGTCTACAGATTGTTTGTATTGTTTTGCTTATACCATTAATATATATATATAGTCATTTTACTGAATATTCCATAGATTGATTTTGAAATAAAGAAATATTGGCAAGCACTGCACTAGCTTATTAAATTTTATTTCTTCAAAGTCAGAATAATGGAGTTAATTATATCTTATGGTTGCTTATGGAATCTTAATAGATTCATGTCAAAATAAATATGAGCAAATATTTGAAATAAATAAGTGGAAACAAATGTTACCATAAATCAATAAATTTTATAAAGGTTTAAAAAGGGCTCTTTAAAGATCTAAAGATCTTCATAAATTAAAAATATCTTGAAGAAATTATTATTATTATTTTTTTTTTTTAAATCTTGATAACTTTGACTGATTGCTAAACATTATTATTAACTCTCTCATTCAAAATATACTTAATTCATTAGTACATAATTAAAAAATAACTTTGTTCCATATAGATAGGTCATCTGTTCCATTTAAAAGAATTCAGACAAGTACATGAATTTTTCAGTATTTTCCTGAAACGTACCTGATTCATGCCTCCCATAGCCGCAGCTGCTGCTGCCGCACTGTGTTGTGAAAGTGACTGCGCCAAAGCAGGTTGCCTGGAAAGGGATGGACCCAGGGGAAGTCCTGGAGAACCCATCTGGGACATGGGCCACCGCGTATCAGTCGCAGGTCCGAAGGAACAGAAGCCGTCGCCCATGGATCCGAATGGGGGTAGAGAGTGGGAGGGCAAGAGAGCACCCGGACTTCGAAAAACGTTTGTGGTCTTCTTCCGTTTTTTCCATTTCGCTCTTCGATTCTGAAACCATACCTAAAAGAAGAAAAATAATTTATTCATTTAGAAAAAAGTTCATTTTTGATATATTCGACAGATGACTTATTTCAGTCACTCAAGAATAGGCGCTCATTTCCAAGACTTACCTCATGATAATGAGAATAAAGAAAGTAATTTGAAATACAAAACAAAAGGTTAAAAACAGAAAATAAAAAAAAATGAAAAAGTTGAAAAGCAAATCTAGAAAAATACAGAGACCGAGAGAGACAAAAGATGAAAACAGAACAAGAAAAACCACAGTGGCCGAGAGGGGCAAATCAGGGTAAAATACATTTCCATGCACTATGGAGAAGTAGTGAGGACCTTAACTATATTTATTTCGATTTTTTAACTTCCCTCATCCTTAACAAGGCATAGAGGGTCTATAAATAAGGACACATTGGACTTTGATAGTAGGACTCCTTCAGTTTTCGATCTCTTTTACCAAGTATAATAATTTGATGAAGGAGGTTTTCGAATACTTATTTTTTTTTCCTTTTGAGAAAAGGAAAATTATCAAATATTATTTTTTCACTGGATATTTTACAGCAGCAAATTTTCGTTGACTGATGTTAATTTGTTGATGCAGAAATTTCAATCTTAATTTTACTGCTTAAAATGTCCTTTTTTTTATATAAAAGTTTTAAAAAGTTGCTAAATTTAAGTTTGCTCTAAAACAAGGATTTCCAACTTGCATGAGGCCAGGGGCCACAATTAAAAACGCGGGCCGCAACTTTATCAAAATTTTATGTAAGGCTCTTTTATGTTTCAAAGAACATTAAATATTACTGTCAGATTTTTACCAAGTTGTACAATTGTATTGAATTGCAAATTAAAATAAGAAGTAGATTTTTAAAAATATTTAATTGCGTATTAAGAAATTCGGGCTACAATAACTTTAATGTGCACCTATGTATTAAGCAATTAATGTGCAACAGATATCTATTTGTTAAGATATAAAACTTTAAAAAGGTTGATATTAAAGCTTACATAGTAGCACACAAAATGTTCAAAGAGAAAATTGAGGTTTGTCTGCTGCAACCACCAGAGAATAGATATTTACATTTAAAATTTACAAACGTGTGCGTAAATATTTTCGTCCAAAATGAGTGGTTTCAAAAAGTTCAATGAAATCGGAGAATTTTTTCGAGAAAATTTCTGATGCAAAATCATATTCACAAAATACACAAAAAATGAAATAAAAAAGAGTGTTTTTGTATTTGAATAAATATTTTCTTGGATGCAAAACCTGAGAAATAAATTTTTTTGCACCGTTGATATGCTAAATTTCACAGAAACGAAGAAAGTAGGTTTTTATTTACGAGAAAAGTATTTTAAACCCATACAGATTTTTCACGAAAATTGTCCGCAAAAAAATGACAACTAATATATTTTAGTTCGCGGGCCGGATGCGGCCCCCGGGTCGCCAGTTGGAAACCACTGCTCTAGAAGTAGGAAGCACTTATTGATTAAATGACCTCTTGGCAAGGTTGTAATTTTAAAAATATAAATACTTTGAAAAATATCAACAGTTTGAGGTAAATTTATCCCAGATTCACTTTATAAGACAAAAACATTGCAGATATTAAAATATTAATACCTATTAAAAAAATAACAGTGCTGTTAAAACAGTACAATTATTTTTATGTTCTCGTTATTTAGTTTACATTTATCATTTGTAAGTTTTCATAAAGTTTTGTCTGCATTTAATTTTCAATTATACATTTATTCCAACATAATATCGAATCTTTTGTCTCGGTGATAAGCAATTTATTTTTCATTTTAAGATATACTGATTTTTTTAATCTTATATTCTGCGAGTTGGCGACATAAAATACAAGTACAAGAAATTCTGCTTTATAGTATAATGTTGCTCTTTCTTCCATTTCTTTGTGTTTTTTATGGAGTTTGTAAAATGACAATAAAAATTCTTTTATTCTCAACTTAATTGTTGTCATAAATAATGTTTTCAAATATAGGAAAAATTAAAAACCTTTTGTTTTACTAACAAAAAGACTCAATTACATGAAGCTACAGAATACCTAAAAGCATTAAAGTATGCTTTAGAATAATAATAAATAACTAAATATTTCGTTTATCTAGGGAAAAAAATCCTTTAAAAGTGAATGTAGTTGAATTGAAAATGGCTTTATTACTAATAATTTAACAACGTTTTCAACTTAATAGTTCAATAATACAACCGAGGTTAAAAAAATACAAAAGAAATTATTTTTTCATTATTATTATTATGTGTAATTGTGCCTTTTAGGAATTAATTGAGTCTATTTTGTGAATCTGCTTAGAATGTAAAGCATGTAAGAAAGTAAATTATTATTGTCAATTATCCTAGAAACAGTATTTTTATTTGAATTTCTAAATCTAAACAAATTCAGGAAAAGCTACATAATTATTTAAGAAAAAACAAGTTTTTTTTCGAAAGCAAAACGAAAATAATTATTACAATAAAATAATACTGAATTTGATTAAAAAATCATAGTTCTTTTATTAAATGTATTGATAACTTAAACAATTAGCATCTCGCTGACTAATGAACATGCTTATGATTAATATAGTCGTGCAGTTTAGCTTAGTATTGCGGTCGACTTAAGTTTTATATGCAATAAAGAGCAATGCATGCTAATTAATAAATAATTAGCACAACTTTTCTGACCTTTTGTAATAGATTAAAAGTTACATATCTTTAGTCCACAATTAACTTAGGAATAAAATGTATTATCATATTTAGGGAGAAAAAGAATATATTATTGTATATAAGGATTGGCAGCATATGATGATCAGAAAAATATGATGTGTTCATTAAATCGTACTTAAATCTTTCTTCTAGTGTTATTCATTTGAACGAAAAAATTTCCAGACTTTAATAATTTATGAACAAAGAAATTTGAATTTCATTAAGCAATGCAATAAAATCAAAAAAGATTCTATTGTCACATGAAATGAATCCTTTTACGAATAATAGGTTATTTTTATAAGTGATGTAAGTTTGTAAACAGTTACTCATGACTGTAAGACCAATTTCACTCAATTTTTAGCCAGCACCATTCATATTTAATCTGAAAATGGTGCGAAACGTCAACATCTAGAAAAGTCATAGTGTAGTGAAAATGAAAAGCGTTTGTAGCCTCCAATGCTGCAATACCTGGGCTCATAAAAATGTACAAAAAAATGAGATTAAGGCAGTTATTCTGATAATTTACGTATAAATGTGAAAAAATGTTGCCAAATTGGCAATTTTTATTTTTTTAATAACTTTTAAAATATTCAAGTTATTTGACCATTTTGAAGCCTAGATAATTCTTCACGGAAAGATGGTATATATTGTTTAAAATTGTAGCTTTATTTCAAGTACCAGACACTTAAACAGTGGCTTTTTTTATTTTTTTTGGCGAAAGAGCATCGGAAAACCATGTTAAAGCACGAAAGTCTTTAAGGGAAAGAAATCACTTCAGATTAGAATGAATTTTTTTTTTTTTGCAGAGCAATCAATCAATGGTTATCTAACGAATAAAAAAATTCAATTTTAAATAAAATTGATGACAAGGTATCTTCAAATAAAGTTTTAAAAAATTTATGATCTGGAAGGTGAAGCATTGAAGTAAGTTAGATTATCTTTTCCTTACGACTTGGCACATCAACTCCATACAACTACTAAGATGATTCATAATCAAAAGATCATGAAAGAAATTGATTCCGCAAATGAAGTACTACTAAAAAACAAAAGTAGTTTAGGGAAAAAAATCACTTTAGTTGATAAGGATGCAGTCAATGATTATCTGCTAATATAATCCAGGTACAATGTTTAGGAAACATATTTATGTAAGGTGACAATCTACTTTGAATAGTATCAATTGCTTGAATAGTATCAATATATATTTTTTTGTCATTTTGCAAAGTTAAATTCTAGAACGAATAGTTCTTGATTGAAAACACAGTGGTCATTAGGAAGTTTATGCAAACATGTCCGATGAGCAGATTACTAAATTCAGAGATCTGTTATTATAATTGGGTTGTAATTCAATTATAAAGTTACAAAAAATAGAATTTACGAAACTCTTTCAAATTTCAGTTAAATGTACCGGCACTTTCTGGGTGCCGGTACTTTTATTGTGAAATCCGTTTTATTGTAAAGTTTTACAGTACAAAAAATCTGTTAATTTCACAAAAAAANAAAAAAAAAAAAAAAAAAAAAAAAAAAAAAAAAAAAAAAAAAAAAAACATCGCGTCATCTGAAAAATATCATAAATTTCATAATAATATTTAAAATAAAAATGCTACATCACTTTAATTCAATAGATATTACTTTAAAAGGGACAGTATAAAATTTTACTCAATCTATTTATGTACTTAGTAATTTATGCGCTCAGGTACTTTTTATCGTAATTTCATCCTGAATTTTTTCTCCGTGTAACATACTAAAAAAAATATTTTGATCCTTAAATAATTACATATTTTTAGTCATTATAAGCGAAAAAAAAATTAATTATCGATCGGACGGTTTCTTGTAAATCTTGTAATTGCGCAATTACATAAATGCATAAATAATTTTTACATATTGTGTAAAATAATTATTAGTTGGTTTTCTTTTTTTTGTTGTTATTGCATATTGTGGTCTCATGGAATAAGGAATGATTAGTTTCCAATAGTTTTTACGTATTGTTTGTGCAGTTTTTTTTTTAAAAAAAGAGCTGATAAGTAATTAATTGCAGTTATCGTAATAAAGATTTGCATGCATTTTACGATACATAGCGATTGTAAAGGCTTAAATTATAAATAATTTTTGGCAAAAATTTTTTTTTTTTGGTATTCGAATAGTAGGGAAAAAAAGAAGATTATTTTAGCTTAATTTCAAGCCTTTTTATTACGAATTTTGAAGGAATAGAGAAAATAATAATTAAATTATTTTCAGGCTAGCTGTACATTCAATGAAAAAAATGGATCAATTAATATCGAAAATAATTATATTACTATAATTTTTC